GAAGAATAAGTAGACGGGAATCATAGAGAGAAGAAATCCTTCCAACGAAGCGTGCTTCGTACGTGATATAACGGCATCGAAGGGCGAAGCAGCTCGAGCACTCGAAGGTCCGATTTTTTTGTTTCCTCTACCGGTAGGGAAGGGGAAAGAGATGGGGCCATCTGCCGGCTTTAGCCTAGGGTTTGTCCTGGTGGCGTGGGGGTTGGTCTCGGGGATTTGGGCGCCGCCGGTGGCGGGGCGTTTCGTGGTGGAGAAGAACAGCTTGATGGTGATCTCGCCATCCGAGATAAAGGGGAAGCACGACAGCGCCATCGGCAACTTCGGCATCCCGCAGTATGGCGGGAGTATGGCCGGCGCGGTGGTGTACCCCAAGGAGAACGCCGCGGCCTGCGACGAGTTCTCCCGCCCCGATCTATTTAGGTCCAAGGTTGGGGCGCTTCCCAACTTTCTCCTCATTGATCGCGGAGGTAAAATGTGTGTGTATCGGACAATCGTTTTTTTCATTTTTCCCGTCACAATGTGAATATCTTTGTAGATCTTTGGCGTCTCAGAGGAAGTTTGATGCTAGATGTCGTCTTTAACCGTTTAATTCTGTCTCTTGAGCTCCGTTGGCGTTTAATAGAAAATGCGACAATGGATATAGTTTCCTTTACTTAACATATTCTGTTTTTTTGAAATCTAAATTATAATGTAGTAGATGAGAGATTATTTACTCAAAAGAATAGGGGAAACAAAACACACAGGTGATAGATTAATTGCTCAAAATAATTGGAGAAGCGGAACACACACTCAAATTTGATAGGCTGATGATTCAGAATCGTTTATATTTGAAATTTGAATTTAGAAAACTTTGGGAGGTTCAGAAGGGGCACACAAATATTTTTTAAGCATTCAATTAGAAAAGGGGAGGTCATTAGCATTATTTTGCTGATGATCTCGGGACGTTACTTCTATTGTAGTTGAAGATAAAAACACTCAGCTAACCTGTAGCCATTGTGGTTCATGGATTTTAGGGTTTGATATAAAAAATTGAAGAATTGAATGCTTATTCCATATGAATCTCATTGATTTTTGTGACTTTGTGTGCTTCTCCAATCTAGGTTTTTTTTTCCTCCTAGATCTTTTTAGTCTTTTCTTTAGTGAAATACATGAACCCCTTCTTCTCCTAGTTCATATTCGCTTCTTTTTTACTTCAATGGGAGGCATGAAGTTATTTGTTGGTTACAAGCTCCATATAGATATAGGATGGTGGTTGAGTTTATTGAAAGATTTTTTTTTACAAATGTTGATGGAAACTGTCTTTTGGTCATTTGAAATGTCTCAACAAGTAAACGAGTCTGTTTCTAAACTTTGATTTATGTGATTATAATTGTACTGTAACAAATTACAACTCAAAATCTTTCATTTCCATCATCGAGCATCTTTTAATAGTCTATTGTGTCAGTGCCCTCTATGTTGTAATTTTGTTTAAAACTTGTCGAAGGTCTGGACGAGGTCTTGCCTCGACAAAGCGGTGACATTTCTGAAATGTGTCGAGAGGTTTCATGCACCTCATCTAATTTGCTATGAGTTTCACATGAGATCGCTGCACATGCGATTATGTCAGTTTTGAGTTTAATAGATGAACTTGTAATCATTATTTTCTAATGGCAAAACAAGAGCAATGATTTTTCTCCCAAGGATTTAATTAGACTATGATATGTCGTTTAACTACCATTATATTCTTTTTCCTACTTATACAGATTGCCTTTTCACCAAAAAGGTCTGGAACGCACAGAATGCTGGTGCCTCTGCAGTGCTTGTTGTAGATGACAAGGATGAACCTTTGATAACCATGGATTTACCTCTGGAGGATGATGAATCTGCAAAATATATTCAGAACATAACAATTCCCTCTGCTCTCATTGATAAAAGGTTTGGTGAACAGTTAAAGACGGCTGTCCGCAGCGGTGAAATGGTCAATGTGAACCTTGATTGGAGAGAAGCTGTTCCACACCCAGATGAGCGGGTGGAGTATGAATTGTGGACTAATAGCAATGATGAGTGTGGTGCTAAATGTGACATGTTGATGAACTTCTTGAAGGAATTCAGGGGTGTAGCTCAACTGCTTGAGAAAGGTGGTTATAGTCAATTTACACCTCATTACATTACCTGGTACTGTCCTCAAGCTTTCATCATCAGTAAACAGTGCAAGTCACAATGCATCAATAAGGGGAGATACTGTGCACCTGATCCAGAGCAAGATTTCAGCACTGGTTATGATGGGAAGGATGTAGTTATTGAGAACTTGAGACAACTCTGTGTATTTAGAGTTGCAAATGAAAGTAAAAGACCCTGGGTTTGGTGGGATTACGTAACTGATTTTCATATACGGTGTCCTATGAATGAGAAGAAGTACAACAAAGACTGTGCAGATACTGTTATGGAGTCTCTGGGTAGGTGCATTTCAAGAATTAATTAGATATGAATGATAGGTCTTGCCAACATTGTTACTGTCTAACATGCTTCAATCTGTATCATCTTCATGCTATGTTCTTCTGGCATTTATGTTTCTCAAATTGGAATTCTTTTGATTGACTTGCAGTGTTATTTGATGTAATACATGATCTAGTCTCTCATTGTAGGAATAACAAGAAGATGGTGTTGATAGTTAAGTGTGTATGATAATTTATGATGATTTGCTATGCTGTGCAACTATTATTGTCAAAGCCATGGTTTATGATATTGAAAAACACAAAGACTGAAAAGCAATATATCATTTGTGGGAACTCATATAACATGCTTATTTTGGGCAGGGTTAGACATTAAGAAGGTTGAACAGTGTATGGGAGACCCAAATGCTGATAGTGACAATCCTTTACTGAAGATGGAACAAGATGCTCAGGTCAGTCATTCTTGTCATGCACTTTCAGTAGAACTGAACAAGGTCATGACCCTTGTTGTGGAAACAATGCTTTTGTCTGCAGTCCTTCTGAACATCAAATGTTAATCTGAACCAATACCTAATTTCCAGTTGAAATTCCTTTCTGTAGGTTGGAACAGGTTCAAGGGGAGATGTTACTATATTGCCTACACTCATTGTTAATAATCGACAGTATCGAGGTTAGTCCTGGATAATATAAGTTCCAAACTTTTGAGTGCATTTATAATTCAAAAGAATAAATGCAGGAAAATTAGAGAAAAAGGCTGTCTTGAAAGCTATTTGTGCTGGTTTTGAGGAAACTACTGAGCCACCTGCTTGCCTGAGTGATGGTGAGGTTCAGTAACTTTGCACTGTTCTTCAACCTTCCATTTTCATGATCAAAACTAGTAGATGAAAAAAAAACTTCACTGTTGCAAATGGTCATGACACAGATATAGAAACAAATGAATGTCTGGATGATAATGGTGGATGCTGGCATGACAAAGCATCCAACATTACTGCCTGCAAGGTACCAATTTAACTTCCAGATGTAAGTCAGCCCATTCTTTGTTTAATGGTTGCATTATCTTCCAGGATACTTTCCGTGGCAGAGTCTGCGAGTGCCCTGTATTCAATGGTGTGCAGTTTAAGGGTGATGGATATAGCAACTGTGAAGGTAGCACCTTGTTCCTCTCTAGAAGAAAATCTAGAATTTGAAACCTCCCAATATGCTTTAAGTCTTCATCAATTTGAATCTGTATCCTTAACTAACTGAATGACAGAAAACACAGACCAATATATTTTTGCTCGAGTCAAAAGGAAAATTACAGTGAAGAACTTATCATCATACTGTTGTCAGTTAATGCATCTTTGTTTCTATGTGCTGAATGAACCTGTTTCTGCATATGGAGATTGACCATCCCCTAGAAACAATTTTTTGTGTATATCATCTTTTGTTTAACATTATATAATGTACTTTTGTTAGGTTGTACATTTTCTTCTGCTACCTTTAGAAATATATCAAAAAACTTCATCTTGAACATGAAACTAAATCAAGATATTTTGTGTTAGTTTCTTTGGTTTTTGTTGTTGCATTTGGACTTTTGATATTTTCATAGAATTCATTCTCGATACGGTCCAACTACTTCAGGCAGCAGGTTACAATTGATGTCAGGCCTGGCCTGCATTTCCAGTTATGAAGCATCGATAATGATATCACTGTTTTAATAGTTAAATTATGTGGAAATATCAACCAGCTTTTGTTTTTGACTTCTCTGGATGAATCTTTTCTCTGACCTGCATGCTTTCTGAATCTTATATTTTACATTGTTATGCTTTCTTTATAACTTTAACTTTTTTGTTCTTATACATTGAAATTCATAAATTGCACATGTTTTATCATGCCTATCTTGCGTTATTGCACTTTAGCATATTGATGTTACTTTTTCATTCTAGGTTTTGGGTCATTTTAAATTCATTTGTTGATCATGTTGGTGCTGTCACATCATGGCCTATAAATGGTATGGGAGTGGCCATAGGAGTAAAAAACTAACAGCATGAAAGGCCAGCTTAGATGACTTTGATAGTTTATTGGTTCTGCTTAGTGTTATGATAGCTCCTCTGTTGGAAAGGCCATCGCTAAAACTTGCTTGTAAAAGTATATTGCTCTTTACGACTTTTCCCCTTATGACATTTGCAAAGTCAACAAATGTAGTGCAGACGAATGCACATCTAACATTTCATCTGCTCTTCAGCAATTGGGCCTGGAAGGTGCAGGATAAACAATGGAGGCTGTTGGCAAGAAACTCGTGATGGCAAGACAGTTTCTGCATGTCAGGTTCGTCCAGTTCCATGACCCATAATGTTTCAATAGAATAGTGTTGTTGATCAACAAAACTATGGGCTAACTAGCTGTTCTGTTATTGCAATTTGTGAATTCCAGAGTTATTTCAGTTTATTTGAATCTGTCTGTTCAGGAATCTGGTGATGGTAAATGCCAGTGCCCCCTAGGATTTGAAGGTGATGCTGTCAAAGTCTGTGAAAGTAAGAATGCTCGGTTGCTCTTTCTTGCAAGTAAATTTGCACAACAATAAGTTCGTTGCTATTTTCTAAGGTGGTGTTTGTGCAAGGCAATAGGTTTTAACTTTGAAAAATAGCAGCTTTGTTAGACCCAATCTACTGCTACCACACATGTGCTGAATTATCAAATCCGTTTCAGCAAATGTAATTATTTTCTTTTCTTGACTTAGATATCAATGAGTGCGAGAAGAAAACAGCTTGTCAGTGCCCTGAATGCAGCTGCAAAGATACGTGGGGAAGTTATGAGTGCACCTGCAGTGGGGACCTTCTATACATCAAAGAACAAGATACTTGCATAAGTGAGATTCCAAGTTACTTTGTCCATGTAATCATCTTAGGTGAACCATATCATAAATACTCTTTGATGAATCATGTGCAGGCAAGAAAGCTAGCGAAGCAAAGGCTACATGGGCTGCTGCATGGGTGCTTTTGATGGTGTTGGCTATTGCTTCTTTTGGAGCATATGTTATATACAAGTACAGATTAAGGGTAAGTAAACAAGACAACACAAATTGTTTTGTCAATGTTCTTTTATGGGATATCATATTCACCATTGCATTTTATTTGGAAGCCTCAATTTGACCTATAGTCTCTTTTTAGGTTTTATCTTGCCTAATTTTGAATTTTGAGAACTGGATGGTTGACACAAACCCTGTTGTAATCGGGCGGTTGACAGCTAGTTTTAGAAAATTTTGACCGTTAGTGCAGCCAATTTGAGAGAATCGGTGTAAGTTGGTGGAATTCTAATGTGAACTTTGAAATGTTCGCTGCACTTGATCACAATCCCTTATGTTTCTGCTTGTAGACCTCCCAATATCCCTCCATGCAGAAGTTTTTAGGTAACTAGGCAATCCCTTCCCTATTTTTGTGTTAGCTATGAATTTGTCTCTAGCTTCAAGGCAGTTGATATTAGGTTAGGAACATTTCTTAGAAATTTGTCAGATCCTTGGCATCGCCTGGTCGATTGCAATTGTTTCGAAGAGCCGATCCATGCTGGTGGAAATGGCCTCAACAATGATGGTCTGAGACTCTGAGCTATCTTTTATTTTGACATTGTAAGGCCCATTTATTGCACTAGGGCAGTGGGGACCAAATGTAACACAATGGAAGAGCAAAGTCCAACTGTTAACTGTGAAACCTTAGGTGCTGACAGCTCTCATGGTTCTGTGCACTAGTTTTTGTTTCTGTATTACTGCGATTAGCAGCAGCAACACTAACAATGAGTTGCAAGGTGTAAGTTCCCAATTATTTAAGGTCAGCTACATGGACCTTTTGTGCCCCTTGAGCTATGTTTAGGTTCACATATTTAGTAACAACAGATCTATTGCTAATAATTCTTATAAGGACTTTGATCTTCCTTTATCTCCTCCCACCACCTGTCTTATCTTACCATTGCATATGTAGACTCTCCTGAGACATATCCACATAATCATAAATAAATCGGTTGCTCTATCAGTTAGAACTATTGCTTTTTCTTATGCTGTATATCAAAAACCTATCTCAGGTACACCAACTTTTTATGTATGTATGTTTTTTAATTATTCCAACATTACAAATGTCAAATTGTTGTTGACGCCACAACCTTTTAGTCTAAGGAACACATCATGATTACACAAGACTTCCTATATTTGCATTTTAACCATCATCATGACTACAAAGTACTAATATCTTTGATTTAATATTTGGCATGTAAAATTGCCCTGTTTGCTACCTTCATTGAGAAATAGCCCGACTGATTGATTAGGATGGTACCAGGATTTGTTCTATGCATCTCTATCAGTAATCAGATTAAAATAGTTGCTAAGATCATGATGCCCATGGTTTCTGAATTTAACTTCAAGGGCATCGGTTAGGAATTACAAACTAAACAATATTTAAGCTTTTCTCTATTATTATTATTATTATGATTATTTGCTTTGTTGCTGAAAAGAAAAATTACAATTCGATTAGCATTTGTGATGAGGAAGTTGCTTGACAAAATATGATTTACCTTAAAACATCTTGTATGCTATTGGGTTCAGACCTTTAATAAAATTTTGATGTGTTTTCACTTTCTCCCTGTTTTCCAGTCATACATGGACTCAGAGATCAGGGCTATAATGGCACAGTACATGCCGCTGGACGGCCAAGGAGAGCTTCCAAACCATTCTCTGGAGGAAATCCATGCCTGAAGTTTTTCCATTTACATTTTTAGGATCTTTCTCATTTTGGTTTTGCCCCCAACATGGAAGGGCAATACATGCCTTGGTGGAGAAATAAAAGATGCATGCTGGGTCGGCCATAAAAGAGTAGAAACAGATGTACAAGAAAGAAATTTTGTGCTACAATGGGTTGTTAGGAGATCTGTAATAGACTAACTGTGTTAACTGTTCATGCATAAGCTTCTCATGTGCTAATTAATATCTCCCACTAACTACAGTTGGATAGAGCAGGCATTAATGGGTCTGTGTGTGCACCCATTAATGTTTTGCATAGCTAAGCTTTCCATTGCCAATCTTACATGATCATGAGTAGCAAACACTATTATACTGTATAATAATGTTTACAATTCTCATATCAATTAATGTTATTAAAAATTAATTAGCATGGTTATGTACTGATCCATCTTAATATTATTTGTCGGTTTCATATGCCTTACCTAAGACAGTTTTTATGTGTCCTCATGCACATCAATAAAATCTATCCTTATGCCTTCTCAGTTGACCTGTGCACAGACATGGGTTGACCATTTACACTCCCACCTTGCCTGCCTAACACCTAATGAAGTCAGATGTCACCTCTATTGGTGCATGCTTCGCGAGTAGCTCTTAGGACATTGGAGTAGCCACTTTGTCCCCCTCCTTTTCTGTGCCTGGTAATATTTGTCAATGGACTGCACCAAGCACCATATCTTGTGCTTCTAATCATCTCTGTCCCCATCTTGACACATACATGATGCTTTGGACTTTTCATGACACCAAAATCTCTTTATTTATATTATAGCCCCATCCCTTTTGGATTGACCCAAGATACTTGATATCGAGATCAGTACAGTAGCATCATATCAAAGTCCCTGGATATCATTCTGTCCTGAGTCTTGTTCCATTGTGTATATGATGCTTTGTGGTTTGTACTCATTAGCACATTCACTGTTTTCTTGAATTATTTACATATGCCAAGAAACATAGCATGGGGTGCTATCCTTTTGTTTCAGTGGATTTGACATGATTTTAAGAACATGTCTCAGTGTCACTGCAAATCTTTTCTTTTGGTCAGGCTTCTCAGTCCGAAACCTAAACTTGTTCGTCTGGCTTGCATTTGTGTGCCACTAAAATAAACCTAAATATTAATGGAGCCAAGAAGTCTGAATGCAAACCATGATGATCTTTTGTCAAGTGCTCAACATATAATCCATATGAACTTGATTTTTAGAACCACGAAGGCTGAAAACAATTATGCCGTGATGCAAGGAAAAGGATCTCGCAGTATCTTGATAGAATATGATTCCATGAACGTTGTCAACATCTATAGCAGGGACAAGACTTCTTGGAATGATCAAAGTTCTATTACTGTTTGGAATCATCATTTTCTTATACTGCGAGACCAGTAAATTTGCTGATTAGTTTGTGATTTTATACATCTCAAAGAACAAGCCACAAAACCATACTTTATATGCGGATGGAGAGTTCTATAATCCTTGAGATGTGCTCTAAATTTGACGATATCGCAATTTAAGGTGAATAAAATGAGTATGTTCTTATCGTGTTTCTTCCCAGATTTCACTTGATACCCATCTTGAGAGACTCCTCCTCCCTTCTTTTTTGCTACAATATTTAGGCTATTTTAAGAATAAGCACCGAATCTTCCTTGGAGGTGAAGTGGATAACACATGAGATTAGAATACACTGTGTTGGTGAAGTTTCATGAACTCCTACAGCATGATTTTGGGGACCCAACATAGAATAATTTACTAATCTAATTTGAAAACCCATTCATCCTCTGCTTTTGACTATTAATTCATTGAAGATTCACAGAGGATCAACTTGATTGTTGAAGTTTGAACTGCCTTGAGAAAGCCACAAGCAGTGTACCAACAATCCTATACAAATTCAGCACAGATTCTTTGTCCCTTGATCCATCATCAGCTCCATGTGTCGGCACTTGAGTAGTTTACAAGGTTCAGAAGAGAAGGTGACCTTCAACTCGAATTAAAAATGGAAGGCATCATCACTGAGAAAGTGCAGCAAGTGGAAAAGCTTTGGTTTGGTTTCCAAAGATGTTATGGTGCATGAACTTGGTGTCGAGGTTAAGAGGAAGGAAGGGAACGAGGAAAGAAGGATGAAGCAGGTGTCCAGGAAATTTCCCAGAAACGAACTACGATTAATTGATATTTATTTAGTTATATATGAGTTTTAATTTTAGAGCATTCTTTAGGATAAGAGATGGACACACGCGTTTATAATTTGCACAATGAGGACATCCTCATTGGCTTCGAGGAGGAGGAGCAGCAAGAGATTAAAGGTGTTAAAAGTAGATGGGCACTACGTAGAACCACTGATAGGTTGCAAGCACCGAGACGAATTCGACTGATCTCAATTGTTCCATCACGCCTGCAGTGGCATCTACAGGTGTTCACGAGGGAATGAGGTGCAGAAGTGTAACTTCACACGTTTCGGATCGAGTGAGCGAGGCATGCAAGCGGGAACACAGAGAGAGAGAGAGAGAGAGAGAGAGAGAGAAGGGGGAGTGAGGTGAGGAAGTGTGACTTTGTGTCGGAAGCTGTAGCTATAAATTAATGCATAAACTGCAATAAAAAGCAGAGAAAGCAGAGAGAAGGAAAAGCTTTTCATGTTAAAAGCCTCTTCTCTTTCTCTCTCACTGTGACAGCGGAGGAGTTCAGAGTTCTTGAACACTAGCGGCCGCTGGATTTGGGGATACCTCTTCGTCTTCTTCTTCTTCTGTTGCTTGTGTTGCTTTTTAGGTGGCCAGCAACTGACACGGCTCGGAGAGAGGGAAAGGCGGGTGTGGGCGGGGAAGGAGGCATGATGGCCTACTGCCTCTTCTGCGGAGGAGGACGCCTGCCGGGAACCAAGTCGATCGATGTTTCAGGTGCTGTGCCCGTCTCCCTTCGTTCTTTTTCCGCAGAACGCATTCCCTTTTAAGGCGAAAATGTTGCCCTCTTCTCTTCTTGAATGTTACCGTGTTGGGCTTCATGCTTGATTCTGTGGGCTCTTTTCATGCACTCTACTCTTGTGTCTTCCTCCTCTCTTCATGCAAAGAGTAGCTTGTTTTGTGTTGCTTGTGAGCTGTTTCTGTTCCTCTAGTTCGGAAAAGATGCTGCTTCTATTGCTGTTTTTCTGAGTAGCTTTAAATCTTCTTCATGTGATTTCCTTCTATCTAGTAATATAAATTACTTTCCCCTGGTGAGGGATTCCAGTGACTTGATGACATTCTTCATGCACCAGCAATATTAGATTAAAGATTTGATGTGTATAACCTGCATTACCATTTTAGTTTCTTGCTATCTTGCCCTGTAGAACCTCTATATTCTCCATTTATTCTCCAGGATATGCATAACCTGTATTACCATTTACTCTTGCTATCTTACCCTATTCTGATCATATTTCAGTATCTTGTGTTATATATAATGACTGCAAAGGGCTTGCATTTCTAGATGAACCTTTTTTTCTTTTTTACTTTTGCTCTCATGTAGTTACTCCATACTCTTTCTAATGTGTGTTTTTGGCGATTTGACGAGATTATTTCATCTTAATAGGAGAATTGATCAATGAAGGAACTTGGCTCTGGGTATAATTCTTAACAAGTAGTGGAGGTTTCAGTTCACTGTTTGTGGGTGTCTGCTCTCTGTAATTGTTATCTGGCCTAGAGAGATCGTTGCCGTTCCTTTGACCGACCAATTTTCTTGCCCAAGTTCATGTGGGCTCGGTTGCAGATCTGTTGAGAAGCAAATCTCTTGCTCAAAAGGCATCTTTGAAGTGAAAGTGAAATGGTCACATGGCTTCAGGGCCATTTCTTCCTCCATCTTGAAGCAAGATGTTAACTGCTCTACAACTTCTTCTGTGTGCTAATCATGATTAACTTTTTGTCTTCGTCATACAAGAAGTCCATGCATTTATTGGAGTAGTTAGCATTGATAGAGATGTACTCCGTGGTATAGATTAGATATTAAGTGTTTGGAAGCGTGGGGTGTTGTTGAAGTCATTGAAGTGAAGGAGCTCTATTTATCCTACAATGAAGTTTATGAAGCTTGGCTCAAAGCCTGATTCTTTTCAGTCGAAAGGGCAGAATATCAGGTGAGTAGTACTTCACTAAGGTATCCACATTTTCTGCTTAAATATGTACTGGCAGTGTTATTTTGTTTTTCTTTTCTTTTGCATTCTTTTTTGTTTGATATCTATCTGTCGATGTTTGTTTCTGTACTTCAGTGGTTAGCCACCTTTTGAGAAGTGAAAGTGGATTTTTAAAATATCTACAAATTTTTGTTCCGCATTTTTTAAAAAAAGGGAATAAAATTAAAGATCACTGAGTAGGATATTACATTCTTGCTAGCCACATGAATGTGATTATTTGGTCCAAAAATGGTCAATCCATCCATTCCTAACAAATTCGGTCTGGGTCATTGGTCCGAATCTAATTGAATTGCTGTTTCTGCTTCGGACAATACTCTGGTTGCACTAATTCTATATTAAATGTAATTTTATAGGTAACATGTGAATTTGGTAATATGATTCTTGTTCTCATTGATTTATTTTTAATCTTCAAATAATCTGCCTGATCAAATATTTGAGTTAACCAGGTACTTGCATTCTCATGCTGCAATTGCTTCAAATCATCTAAAGATTCTGAACCGTTTCAATATTCTATGAAGGAATCCTGACTTCTTTTGAAACTCTGTTTTTATCCATGCTTTTGTCAAAGCTAATACAATATTATGAAGAACTCAAGTTCTCTATTGTAGAGGTTGGTTCGATGAGCATCGATATGTGATAGATTCATGTTTACTCTCACTGTGGGCCTAAAAACATCAGATGTATACAATTTCCAGAGTTATTATTTTATGTAAACACACACAAAAGCTACTGGCTTCTCATAGAAAGGAAAAGAAGTCCAGACTAAAAGGATATTTTAGTAGCTGACAAATATAAAAAGGTTTTTTATTCATTAATACTAAAAATCTTTGGCATTCTTATGTCTATCAATCCTTTGTATTTGTTTAATGATTTTTGAGATCCCACAACATAATATATTATAGTCCTTTGGCCCATTGAAATTAATTATATCATGACTTAGGTAAGCATGCAGAAGAAACACTCTTGACAGTTGACACCACATATTTCATTCTAAAGAGATGATGTATATTTTTATCCATTATTGCCTCTCTTTGTAATTATCTGATAGCTTTTTATTCTCTAATCACCCATCACTATGTAGTTTGAATAATTATCCATCTAAGCTTCAAAAACATAGCAAGACTTGATTCTTGACATCCTCAAAGTCGCATCACCAGACGCTTGTTGTAAATGATATGAGAGATAGGTTAGTTAATAAAAAAACGGAAGCACCAACATTCTTCATTACAATGATGGATCATAGGACAATTAACAGTTTAGGAGGAAAAATATGGATTTAGAAATTTTAAGGAGGATTAAATGGACAACAGATTATTGTATTAGATTCAGGATATGCTTTTTGGAAGTGGATACTGAGTTCACAAGAGAATTGATTTTATTTTCTAGTGGCATATGGTACATGTGGCACTATGTTGTCATCTCCATTTCAGAACATGTCTTTCACCATCCTACTGAGCCCAAGGCCATATGCAATGTTTTCCTTTATATAATACAGGCTTGTTTTCATCTCATGAAAGAGAGTACAAGAGCATTCAGTTCATGGTAGAATTTCGTTAATTTATATTTATCTAAGCTTGTTTACATTCGACATGAAGATAAAAGAACAGAAAGATTGAGACTTCTGATGAAAAGATATAAGTCATCTATTATTTTGCTATGCAAGTAAAAGAATTATATTTTTAGATACTTTGTATTTCTAAACAGACTTTTCATGAAATTTCTTCAAAGCAAACAATTTAATTCTCGGTTGGTAGCTTGTGTTACACCCTTAAGTTTCTACGTAGTCAAATGTATGAAGCATTTGTCTTGAATAAATGTAATTGATATAAACCTGTGGACTAGCAAATTAAACAGACAACTTATTTCCATTTCACAATCTAATAAGCTCACTTGTTATCCAGCTTAGATGATTGTATTCTGAATTCTATTTTAGTATCTTCTTCACGTACAATTACTTGGTCAATAACTTAATGGAACAATACCAACCATGCTTGAACTTTAAGAAAGTTATGGTGACATGAGAAGGATCAAAGCTTACATTTTTCAAAGAGAGAAATTCTATGCCCTAGGTGAACAAAAGTGATTGTGTCAAATCGCACATCTAAATTTTTTATAAATATTTCTCAAAGGGAAATGGAAATACGTTATACAATAACAATTGAAAGTTTTCTTAAAGAAATGTTTTCATATGTTTAAATCATATTGAACACTAGTGGTGTTTCGCCAAAGTTCGTGATATTGTAGTGATACCACAATGTCATGGACTTAGCTGAAATTGCTTAAGTCGTGAGGTACCCTTGCGAAAAAGTCACGGATTTAGCTAGAGTTGCCTAAGTCGTGAAGCACCATTGCGTCAACTTCTCAGACTTAGCTGGAATTGCCTAAGTCATGAAGCGCCATTGCGATGTATGCATCCGCAAAGGATCAGCCTAGTTGTAACCTGGTACAGGTCCCAAAGAACCTATAAAATAACAAGTTGATTAGTTTGAAAATGAGCGACGGACAAGTCACGACCTCTCGCGAAGAGGGAAGCTTTATAAGCAATTCGGCGAGCACCTTGAGTGCAAGAGAGGAAGGAGAAGACAAGGACTTTAGAAGGCTAAAAGAACAGTTGCAAGTCCGCAAACAACTGCTCATTGGGTGTCAGGCGTTAAACACTCTTTACAAGTTCGCATGTTAACTTGACGGGAACTTGCCTTCGCGCTCGACACCTGATGAGCAATTGTTTGCGGACTTACAATTGTTCGTTCAGCCTTCTAAGGTCCTTGTTTTCTCAAATATTTGAAGCATTATCTACCGATGTGGTTCATCTTATACATTCTATCTACATCTGTACAGTTCTATAACATCTCATTCTACAAAGAAAATGCTATGCTTTATTGTATGTAGATCTGATTTTATGCAAATCTGATTGTCTGTGTCATTAATTCATCTGAAAAGGTTTGACAAAAAAAATATTTCTCATGCTTGCAGGTTTGTACAATCTGAGTTAGAGATTGACATCATTGTTAAAGTAGGAGATGTAATATTCCATCTACACAAGGTGAGCTGAGCTATTTTTGGAATTTTATGGCATATAGGAGTTCATCATGCATGAAACTCCAACACTCAACTTTTATTTGCCTTTGTTACTAAATTTGCAACAAGGCACATGCCTACATGAATTGGATGCACTTAAAGGGGAAACATGGACCACGCTGACTGGCTAGGTATGCTCAGGGCACCCTACAACTATAGGAGACTGCCAGGCTTGTCTCACAAATGTGATGGCTCAATCCGGAAATTCGAAACCATTAGCCCAACATAGTCCAAGCCTGGGGCCCAAGGATTGCACACTGTTGTTTGTTCTTTTTTGTTTTTAGTTTTTAATAATTTATTTACTTTTATATGATTGAGAAAAGACTAGCCCAGAATATAAAAGATTTTTTTGATGACCCTTCTATCACGTATATTTGACACACTGTTATGTAACTACATCACACTGTTATTACAAATATTTTACCTGACTTTCCAAGGTAAGCATTGTTCCTTTTACACATCTCTTTTTCTATGTACAATGTTAATTAATAGTATCTCTTTTTTTGTACTTATAATGTTTAGTTTTTTGTGGACCAATCGACAATGCAGTTTCCACTTCTGTCCAAGAGTTCTCGTATGCAGAAGTTGGTGACAACTAACAATGATGACAACCTTGGTGAGATTCACATTCCAGACATCCCCGGTGGTCCTGCTGCCTTTGAAATCTGCGTCAAATTTTGCTATGGCATGACTGTCATTCTCAATGCTTATAATGTAGTTTCTGCACGTTGTGCTGCTGAGTACTTAGAAATGCATGAAACAGTCGAAAAAGGGAACCTCATTTATAAAATTGAAGTTCTCCTAAGCAGTAGCATATTTCATGCTTGGAAAGACTCTATCATTGCTCTGCGGACTATGAAGTCGTTGTTACCATGGTCTGAGGACTTGAAGTTGGTCAGCAATTGCATAGACTCTATAGCGTCCAAGGCTTCTGTCAATCCCTCTAAGGTTGAATGGTCATACACATATAACCAGAAAAAGGTTCCGTCTGAGAATAGTCTTGATCCTCTGTGGAATGGCATTGTAAAAGAGCAGTCAGTGCCAATGGACTGGTGGGTCGAGGACCTATGTGAGCTTGAGATAGACTTCTACACGAAGATTATAGTTGCCATAAAAGCAAAGAGGAGAGTGTCTTCTGAAGTGATTGGAGAAGCTCTTAAAGCTTACACGTTTAGGTGGCTCTCAAATTTGGGCGCAGCATCCATGAATTCTGCAATTGATGCTGCAAGATATCAGTCTATACTACAAACCATTATTTGGTTGTTGCCAGCAGAGAAAGGTTCTGTGTCATGTCGATTCCTTTTTAAGCTACTTGGAGCTATTATTTTGATAGATGGTGGTGAAAGAAGCATGAAAGAACTCATCAAACAAATAGGCCACCATTTAGAATATGCTTCAGTGTCTGATTTGCTAATTCCTGTTATGCCAGGGCAAAACACCATATACGACATTGACACTGTTATGAGTATAGTGAAAGAATTCTTGATGCAGCACAGTATTGCTTCTCAACCCAGTCCAAATGACACTGAAGAAACAGAGACGATGAATCTAGCTTTAGTCTCTGATGGTTCAAAGATGGCTGTAGCAAAGCTTATTGATGGCTACCTTGCTGAGGTTGCAAAAGATCCTAACCTGCTTTGTTCCAAGTTTACTGATCTTGCTGCATTAATATCAAGCAAATCAAGGACCGTGCATGATGGGCTGTATCATGCTATTGACATCTATCTAAAGGTAAATCCTCATGATTTTTATACCGCTGCACCTGTTTTCCATAGAACAAAATAATCATATTCTACTGTGAAACATATAATATTTCTTGAAAATTAGTGGAGTACATTTGTATAGATGTTTTTCTGGAGGCACCAGTGCATGATTGTCGCATGAAATGAGCAGGAACACCCTAGCCTGAGCAAGAGCGAGAAGAAAAAGCTATGTGGTTTATTGGACTGCAAGAAACTCTCAGCAGAAATTTGCATTCACGCAGTGCAGAATGAGCGGCTTCCTTTACGATTGGTGGTGCAAATCCTCTTCTTCGAGCAGATGAGAGCATCTTCTGCCTGCAGTGGACGAGCTGAGAGTGGTGGCTCTTACGGAAGCTCGAGGTCTGGCATCACAACCAATGCCGAGGATGAATGGGATGGAATGCCGACAGCTGAGGTCCTTGGATCATTCAAATCCACGAAACTCACCCATGGAAACGCTGGAAGCCAAAGGAATTCTGGCAGCAGCGACACAACCAAGAGCGATGGTCATGACAAGAGCGGCAATGCCAAGGCAAAAGGCATCAAGATGCCAAGGAAGATGCTGGGTGAACTGTTGTCAAGCAAGAGGCAAACTGGGGAGAACAGTAGTTCCTCCAACACCTCGGTTTCAGAAGAGACACACAACTAGCAGACAAGCTCCGTGAACTGATAAACCGGTTCTTTTTCGGAAATGATGGCTCTATTTTGCGTGTGCCAAACAAGAGTAAAAGAATTATGCCTTCCTCTTCAGAAGTTTACATGAGAAAGGTTTGTCATGGGGTATGTGTTACTGTCTCTATTTTCTGTTGTTAGTGTGGTTAGATCTGCAAATGTTGTATGAGCCTTTTTCACTCAGCTGAAAGTAAATAATTTAGAGTGTTGTGAGACTGTGTGTGACTTGTGATATTGAGGCTGTTCAAGAAAGTGGGGAATCATACCTTGGTACAGACAAGATAACCATAGAGCCCACCTGGTCTTTGGCCTGCCTGGCCTGTGTGTTTGAATTCTCTTGTTGCCATCCACATGGAAGCTATGGCTTCTGGAATCACCAGGAGGTTTCAGTACAGTGACCACAACAAGGCCATGGCTCAATTGCAGAGGCTTGTAGCCCCTCTTATTCCCACTTTATGGTCTGTTTTGTACATGGTGATGTAATGTTCAAAGGTCCACCTCTGGTTGGGGTCTTTAGAAAGATGTGATCCACAGATTGGACGCACCCCATTGTACCTTTTGCTCTCCTCAAACTTGGAAAAGATTTTGACCGTTGGCCTTCTGACATTAGTATGACATGAAACATGAGAAATTATTTGTGCCTCACAAGTCACAACCCACAAATGTTTGGGTATCTTTTTGTTTGGTGGCTGAGAGCACTTTCTTTCGGCTGCGAGATGGAACCTTTTGGGTTGTCGGGCCCCCAAACATGACAGGATTTGGATGCTTGTGTGCCGCCATAGATTGCACTGGATGCTCTCTTGCTGCTCGTGTTGGTTAACCAGAAAGGTAGAACAAGTCTTTGCATCAGATGTAGCCACCCTACATCAGAACCAAATGGCCAAGCCAACCTCTGTTGCTTGCAGCTCTAATGCACAAAATGCTTGCTTTGTTTCGGTTGACTTCTACATTACTTGTATGTTCCATGAGAAGTCAACGCCAAACACGTAATTAGATCGCAGTGCCGGACCTGGGAGACGACGCTACGCGGCAAGAGCGTCGACCGAAGGTCACAGCAAACCTGCCGATTAGGCTTACGCACCCAGTCAAATTTTTGGCTAATGGCGATCCCATTATGTGTTCCTTCAAGCCTTTTTGACCACCTCGTCTACCAAGACCACCATAAGAAACGTGCATCACTTGGATCGATTCGGTGGATGATGTACCGGAGGTCTTGGATCCCATCTCCGAGTGCCAATGCCGTACATCATCCCTGCATTTACTATACCGATGAGAAGACTTGGGGCACCGTCTCGAGGTCTTTGAGGTGAGTGGTTTCCGAGATGGCCATTATTGGGGGGGGGTGGTTTAGGCCGGAGGTGAACCCCTGCGGCCTAAATCTTCTCGTCTACTAGGGGCCCCACTCCGCGCATGTTTTAAGATTAACACGTGGCCTTCGTGGATACTGTCGAGTTGATGTGGTGACCCAGTCGGCTTAGCTTTAGATAGAAACGGCAACGGGTCGGATTTCATCGAATCTCCACGTCTGCAGTGTACGCGTTAATAATCCGAATTTAGGATGAAATTACATATCTAAATAGTCGATTAGAAATGGAACTGAAATAACATTAAATTCGTCTTATACGGTTGACGATGGTAACATTAATTAAGTTCATCGACATCGAGAAAGACATCTTCCATCACAATTTTGTCTTTGAGATAGATCACTTTTCCTGTGACCTTTCTCCATTGCTTTTCCTCGTGAAGACCGCATGATTCTTCTTCGTCGACTTCGTTAAGAATCCATTAACATGACTTCCAACGCGCTGTCCGTGAGGCAGCGGTGCAATTTCTTGCAAACACAGACAGCAAAAGCAATATGAAAAAAGGGGTGATTTTTTTACATTAATTGAACCCCAAAAACAAAAAAAAAGAGAGAAGGTTAATAATTGTCGTTCGTTCGTTCATCTCAAGAAATCTTGAGATGCTAAATAAGAGAACCGCTGGCGATTGATCTAAAAGTTATGGCTTTGTTTATGTATAGGGATGTATGAAAGGGAAAAAGAGATGCTGTGAAAAGAACAAGAGAGATTGTGTGGAGCCATGAAGGAAACCAAGATGCCACTTTTGCTTTCGCCCTTAACCTCCTCCTCCATGAGATTCTCCATCACCGAATTTACAGAGAGAATTTAGGAGAAGTTACAGAACAAAGAAAACCCTCAGGAAAATAATAGTGCTCTTTGTACAAAAGGAAAGAAGAAATAGACGAAAAGAAGACCAAAACAGTAGTTCAGCGAGAAAGAGGGAGCGTCTCCCTACTCCTCCGTCTCTGGCAGTCCTTACAGCTCCCTGGGGTCCACGAATATGGAGGGCCCCGGCGTCGACTTGGTCCAATCGCCGACCGCCCCGTCGCTGTACTCCTCCGCCAGCCGCTTCACGCACCACACGTCATCGGCCCCCGACAGCAGCCGCCACCGTGGTATTCCTCGACGGAGCGGCTCCGTCTCCGCTACCTCAGCTGCCACCACGGCCGCCGCCCCCCTCGCCGTGTTGTGCGCCTCCCGCCACACCGCAGCAGCCATCGTCGCCGCCGCCGGACCCTCCCCCCCGATACCGTACAGGAACCAGGCCCCGAACGGCCGGAACAGGTCCGGCACGGACGGGATCCGCAGCCACGGCATAGCCCGGTCCGCCGCACGCGTGGCGGCCGCTGCCGCCCGCCGCAGCCGCGACGCCCCTCGGATTTCTAGCCGGAACACGCCGCCGCAGTCCCACACGCTGGCAATCGCCCATGACTCCGGCGGGGCCGCGAGGAAGGCCTCCGCGCCGGACCACCGCTCTGACGCGGCGCATCCGGCCGGCACGGCGAGGAGGGTGACCACGGACAGGGGGTTGGCGAGGACGGCGTCGATGTCTCGGGGGAAGAACTCGGTAGCGGCGAGGCGGCGGCGGTATATGACCTCGGCGTCGGCGGGGGGGATTCGGAGAACGGCGGCCGAGCGGGGAACGGGGAGGCGGTGGACGAACACCGGGTGGACCAGGATGGAGGGCGTCCGGAACTTGGAGTAGCCGCACCCGGTGAAGAGGCCGAGGGACGCGTCGTTGCCCTTCGTCGTCGCCATGTACGCGTACTCCGCCCCCTTCTCCCCAAACCATTCTTCCATTCGCTTCACCAGCTTCAACCCAATCCCCATCCTCCTGTCGGACGCATCAAACAACAACGAAATGAGAACAAAGCCTCGTACAGAAAGCTACAAACCCACATACGAAGTGGAGGAATCAACGGGTAAATTTACCTGTGCGATGGCAAGACGCGAAGCCCAAGGATGTAGCCGACCTTGGTATATATCGGGGCGGCCGCCGGACCATGGGTTCTGGTCCCTCCGCCGCCTTGTCGAGGCATCTTCCTACCGCAGGCGACTATCTTCACGCTGCCGCGGATGACGCCAACGATTTCTCTGACCGGGCCGCTCGTCTCAGCTACCTACGAATGAGACATCAGCACGAGTAAGGAACAAGATAGAATTCACACAATACGAGGGCATATATAGGAAGGGAGAGAAGGTTACCAGCATGAGGTAGGCCGGGGAATGGCGGATGCGGGAGACGGGGTCGCCGAGGAGGTCCATGCAGAGCGACACCTTGCCGCTGGTGCCCACCTCGCATATCCGGTCGACCGCCTCCGCCGCCGACCGGTCAGTCTCGGCGTCGTACTCCCTGACGACAATGATCAGTTCCTCCCTCTCCATCTCCTCCTCTGCCTCTTCCTACTGATATACTTAACGGCAGACGTTACCCTTTGCACCGCGTCAAAATTAATCGCCGGAAGAAACGGCGGTGATAGACACGAAATGAACAATCGCAGCAATTATTACTGTGGCTGCTCTACTAGGCAAGCATGGGAATGAACACGACTGTGCACGCCAAGCTCCCTTGAGCTTCCTCCCTCTCGGTCTCTTCCCTGCCACTCTCTAGGTGGGGGTGGGACTCCGTTTGGGTGTAGGGAGAAGCTAAATGCTTGAGCTACCGATGCGGGAGTGAGAGGGAGGGGTGTATAAATAGACGTGTCGCACGGCGGTGGGGTTTCGGTGATGGCCCAAACTCTCCGCCCTCTCGCCCGACACGATGCTCATTTCCTTCTCTCTCTCTCTCTCCTCTCTATGGAGAGCTCACACTGGCGTATATTAAATTGGGTGATGTGAGCAACAATAAATGGCATGGGAGAACGTAGGTGGAGATTGGGTAAAGGAGGGATAGAAAAGAAATGGCGGCTGTGACTGCGCGGTCCGGTGAGTGTCCACCCCGTTTATTAAATCATTTAAGTTCTACGGACCAGAAGGCGTATCCCCTCAATTACGAGCCATACCCAATCATTTATGGTTATCCATTACCGCAGGCGTGATCGAGCCCAGCATGTCCCCATGCCCCATCGCCATACATCCATGCCCGCCCTCCTCGACATGCATGCATGTGGCGCCGCAAGCCCTCGAACAACATGTCGACATTGATCCGCACGAAAATTTTAGATCCTGCACTCTGATCAGTGCCTTGGTTCTGAAAGACTTACTTCGAAGTGTGCGTATCTGGGGATGGATCGCCCGAGACACCTGTTTTAGGAATTCTTTGCGTAGAGTACGAATGAGCCACTTTTGTCTGAGATTATTTTAGCTGCGGGGGGAACATAATCACTGTACTTAGACGAAAAGTATTCGAGATGAAGTCATCTCTCGAGTCCACGACAGGGTCGAGCGATCGATCCACCGAAGAAAGGAAACACCGGCAAAACATCTGCCGTTGCTCGTTTAGCTAATGGAAACACAAACTAAGCTAATTAATTCTTCATCGTCAGCAAGTCATTTTATATTGCAGTGACAACAAATCGAACCCCAGACTGGAATCTCCATACTTGCAGCAGATGCTAATTCTTCGACCTCGGTCGTGGGTGGGGTTGCAGCATGAGATATAGATAGCTGTAAGTCTAGTATGTGCCTAAAAATCCAAGTCCTTGTGCCCCACTGGTATTCCATGAAATGTTGGTCCACAGGATTTCTGTTGCTAGTCATTTTCTTCTGTGTTGAACTCATGGATATTATTCATATTGCCCAATCTCATTGTAGGATGTTGTCAGCAGGGCATCACCGGTATCACGAGATTTGGACCACAGACATGGAATTCACGCACCATCCATTGCAGTGTCTGAGATCAGATACAGGCACTGCTTCAACCCAGATATAGGATAAAGAAGTAGGAAACTTCCCTGGCAAAGCAGATGGTTTGATGTACTTGGTTCATGGAACCTTCTCATGTTGAATGAGGTCCAACGATTCCATAACTAGTTCACCGAAGAAGGGTCATTGCAATTCCTCATGATTAGAATAGGAGATGAAGAAGCACTTAAATAATGGCCCTTCTTCTTCTTCTTCTTGAATGGAGGAGTCAGAAGGTCCGCCCGCAGGCATTTTCATGTACTATACATCAGCTTGTGTTTGACTAGCACAAGTAGCGTTTCCAAGTAGAGAAGAAGATCGAATGGCTTGCCAACCAAAGTCATTTTACATGCACAAGAGACTGAGGGTGGCTGTCAATAATGAAAGCTTACAACAGTGGCACTATGTTTGGCTTGATGAGAGTGACATTAATACTGAAACCGATAACGACGACGACAGCATTGACCAATGACAGTGATGAAGGGCTCCATTTCAATTTGTTTTTCCCCTCCTCTTCGTATTAGGAAATTGCACAGAAACATTTGAGTGATGATGGAAGACGATCACACAAGTTTTCCAAGTGTTACAAAAACCCTTAGCTCTTACCGATCTTCTGACTTCCCCACCTGCCACTTTCACTTGCCTTTCTTTTGGCAAGACAGGGGGACGCCCAACCACCATGCCTTACTATAATATTTTCTTCGTGAGTTCTTCCCTCGTTTTTTCTCTCTCTCTCTCTGTCTTCGGAGCGAAGCTTCCTCGCACGGGAGGGGGGTTGACGCTGACCTCTCAGCCACAACGCCCTTTTCGCCCATTCTTTATCTTTTGGCCAGGAATAGCTGTTGTTTGTCCGTGATGCGTACACATTAAAGCTAGGGGTTGTTTGACCTGAAGTGAGTCACGTAAACGAATAGAAAACTCAGATAAAGCCTCATGAAGTCGTGCCTCTCTTTATTCTGTTTCCTTTAGACCTTTATTTCGTTATGAGATGACATTCGATGAGCTCCTGCCATCCATTCCTCTCGAGAAAGGGAAAACGATGGGAAGCATGTGAGCCCGAGCTTGGCTTCATGCGTCTTGTGGCATGTGGAGCGTATACAAGTCGAGATGGTGAGGACATGCACGGTGGGGTCTTGCGTCCATGGATCGATTGAAGCCGGAGGAAGAAGATTTCAAGTTCATGGTCACTTGGGGATGAGGTCAAGGTTGAACCAGTGATGGCCACATTCCTTGTGTACCGGGCTTTGTCTTTCCCTATTTCATGTCAGTGGGGCCTTCGTGTGCCTCAATCCCAAGATAATGATGCCCAACTTTTACTGGGTCTCACGCTCCGATTTCATCTTCAAATATCCATGTATTTTGTGCTATATATATATATATATAATTCAAAAATAATATAGGCTGAAATAATCTGGATCTTGTCACTATAGAGTTCTCCATTCCTAATTACTCAGATCACAAAGAAGTTTATGCTAATTAAATAATTAGAAACCAAGCTAAGTAAAACATAGAACAATAAGATTAATTGATAACTTGAGTTGAGTTGGTGGTCCACCACCTAAAGGGAACAAAGGATACTGATGAACAATGGAACAGGTGAACTCAATTATTTCAATGTGTCGGACTACACATGTCCATTGGAAGGTTATCAGGAGATGGAAACAACAAGATAACTCCATAATACATGTGCCCTCATAAATCCCCTCCTCTTCTTCTTCCCCAAATCATCTTTCCATTATCGTTTGTTTAATCTAATTACTAGGCAACTTCGACCAAGGAAATAGCAAGCCAATGTGCTTGCTTGCTGATTCAGAGTTTGGAGTGAGCCAAGTAGGGTTATTCTTCTTCAGGCACTCGTCATGGGTGAATGGAAACATTGGAGGACGATGATCACGTGCTAATAGTTGGTGAAATGAGGACTGGGGAGATAGGGGAGACATCATTCTCACTCGACCGAAAGGTACAAGCTTGATGTGTTGCATCAACATGGCAATGGAAACATTGACCAGTCTTTAGCTTAATCCAAATTAGCTTGATTGTACTCGTGTCGGACTTTGATGTGATCTCTCTCTTTAGGGGATACATCATCAGCATTGTTTCGATTTATCTTGCAGAGAAGAAGATCAAAGGCCACTGCAGGAAAAAGCCAAAGAGACATGAGATAGGGGATGTAGACGACCACTTGTTCTTATTCTTCTTCTTCTTGTTCTTCTTCTTTTGGATTAAGATTTCTAATCATGACTAGAAAAAAAAAACAACATCAAATATAAATCAGAAATTTCTTTTTGATGTGACAAATCATTTGGAATTACATATAGCAGGAATTTGTCTCTATAGAGAACAATAATAGAGGAAAAAATTAAAGAGATTAGGGATGAAGATGACATCTTTTTCTTTTTTCTTTTTTTTTCTTTCTTTTTTTTCTGATTTAAGTTTCTAAATTAAAACTAGAAAAAAAAGAATTGGTCTTAGAAACACTTAAATCCTTAGCACTGCAAAAACAAACTAATTAAGCTTGTAATATGATATTAAGAATAGCAATCGAACTTGTTAAAGATGCCTAATAAATCAGAGTGATCCAGGAATTTGGACTCTTCTAATGATCTGATTCTATTCTCTCTCGCTCTCTCTCTCTCACTCACTCACTCACTCTCATCAGCACTATATTTGGTTGAACACATCAGGAGGAATCTCCTAAACGGTGTGTGATGCAGATGCAGTCAAGCCGGCAGGACAAAGCGTTTGACCCCGCGTAGCCCATGTCTTGGTTTCTAAGAACTTTGTCTGGGTGTTGATCCTGGAATGGATGCCACCACCCGCGTGGGGCCTACGTGTTCGCCCCCACACATGCTTTTGACACGGTCAACCGGTTTGACCAGCAGGTAGATTTTTGGGCTATCAAACAAGAATGGGACAGAGAGAGAGAGAGAGAGAAGGGAGAGGGGAGGGAAGAGGTGGGGCCGACTTGTTCACCCACTCATCCATGCTTTTTTTGACAGTCATCTAGTTTGACCACCTGGTAGATCTTTTGAGCTCTCGGACAAGAACGAGAGGGAGAGAGGGTGGAGAGCACAGGGATTGGAGGTGGAAGAGGGGACAAAGCGGAGATTTGGGGCATAAGACGCGTACTTTCGGCAGTGGGGATGTGACGTCTCCGTCGTTTGTTAGGGTTTGGGCTGTGGGCCTTCGCGGCCCGACAAGACTGTGAGGCCCGACCTGTGCAAATTCATATTTCTCTTAGTACCAAGTAATAAGAAGATTCCTGAGGGAGAAGTCGAAGAGACAAATGGACAAACGGGTTCAGGGCACCGACCGGGGGGAAGGCATCAATGGCCGCGCGCGAGGGCACTGCGCCTCCACCGCCCTTGTCCTGCGACAGGAGAGCACCGAGCCCGGGCGCAAGACCCACGTGTTGGACGGAGGCTCGTCCACCGGCCACCTTCCACAGTCGGACGAGAGCAGAGCCACGACTGTGGTGGCTTGACCAGACGAGTCCGGCTTGCCCCCTCCTCGTCTCGACCTCCCATGTGGCCGCGAACAGTGGCTGGGGCCTCGCAGGGTTGTCCGGGTACGTCTCGCGCCCAACCAAACACTCACATGAGCCTCTCTGCAGGCGTTCCAGTGGCCGATGGCCGTGAGACCCATGTCGCTGGCCTCACTTCCATGGAGGCTCATGGGGCGCAAGGTCCACACCAGGACATCCCTTTTGCTAACAACAAAGCACACTCAGTAACTCCTCCTGCATCACAGTTCATGAAAGCTTATCCTCAAGGAATATTGGTACCGAGAAGGTGAATAATTTCATCATGTTCTGAGGAAAAGTGGACCAGATGTCAGACATCCTCAGCGCTTGTACTGCCATGCATCGATCTGATGAGATTTGGAGTCCCCTGCTTTGACGAACAAAGCTTTTCCTTCTTCTGCCACCACCAAACTTCTTGTACACCGATGCCGATTCCTTCATCGTCATCTTGGTACACCAAATCCGACTTCAAAATTAATGAAATGTATAAGAAAGATTTTGAATTTACCTTACTGTCGCTGATTCATATCTAATACAAAAAGATCACATCACGTCTGTATCAGTGCCACTAGTGCGGCAGTTAACCTTTGCTTTCGCCTCCACGGTAGGACAGGATCGCAAAGGTAATCGACATGGAGCTAATGTAAGAGGAAACGCTCATATGCGATCGTACTTGCGAACTGTACAAGGTACCACTGTATGGGTAGGGGGAGGGGGTGGTTGGGGATGGAGATAGGAACAAAACTGACACATAGCCATCGCATGCGTCTATCATGGATGATGCCATGTCACGGACGCATGCATGCACGCATGGGGAGCACACGTCTGACATTCTTCGGATGGCTCCGGGAATCGCTCTCCGATGTCCGCATCATGGTGGGATGGGGGTGACAAGAACGCATGGGCCTTCGTATTTCTTGTCCATGGCCTACGACAGTGAGATTATTATGTGTGGTCGGGGACCGGATGGTCCTACCCATTTAATGGCATGACAAATGTTGGGTTGGGATTGAGATGCTGACGTGGGAATAATTAGGTTTTCCGGTTGCAAGTGTTCGGTGACGTGGCCCATGGGCCCAAGCCTACGTAGATAGCGTCTCCCTCAGGAGGATTCTGGGCCGTCCATCACAATCACAGGAGAGCTCATCCTAACTCATCATAGAGTATGAAAAGATAAAAAGAGGTTTTTTCTGCATACGGATAACCAACAAAGAGAATGATGTGATCTATAGCGATAGATTAGTTCGCTATAGAAACAAAAGAAAGTTGACGCAACCCTCTAAAAGCGATCGAAGCATCGCATTCCAAGAAAAAGACAGAAACCGAACAAGATTTTATGAGGAAGAGCGACTTACTCTGGCCACCGATCTCGAACTTGGGAAGACAGCAAGATGTTAGAAACACACAGAATCCTGTCCACCAAAATTACCTGCTAATTCTCAGTGGCCAAAACATGGTTTCGATGTACAATGATGTAGTCCAACTTCACCTCAGCCTCAGGGGAACACAATATATTAAAACCAGTCACCAGTGGCTGCACATAGATGAGAACAAATTGAAAACAAATGGGAAAAAACAAAAACAGTTCGGCCGTGATGCAGCAAGAGATCAAAATAGCTTTCGAAATCATGCTGTCAAGTTTCGATTTCGTCTGTGTAAGATGAAACATCAGGCACAGCTGCACTCCTAATACATACAATTTATTGCTTGCTTTTTACAGTAAACAAATTCAACAGGTCAATGCCTGGTAACGTCTTAAACAAAGAACAAAAAGAAAAGATTCATTAGAATACATATGTACATAAGCTTCAAATTGACTAGCATAAGAGAACATATTTTTGTATAAAACAAGGTAATCCCCGAGGGGAAAAAGGACAACATGTGGTAGTATGCATACAAAAAACACATAAACCAACTGCTGTAGAAATATGAGCAGGAAGGATTTAGGCACTGGCTTTGCACCCAACAAAACCAGTTGTTCGTTATTACGTTTGGCATAATCTTCGGTTTTCCTTTTCCGAATGGACTAAGGTCTCACACCAGCACACTGTGTGCAACTGGGAATTGAAACCCCAACAAAATGGCAGCCTCCTGGATGCTTAGCGACCAGGCTACCAGGGTGAGTGCACACAATCTTCAGTTAGAAACAAAAGCCTTCGGTTTGGTGTTAGTGATCAAAGAAAACACAAGGAATCGGCCTTTTGTCATCTTGTTCTACAGTTATGTTGGGCTGGCCTTTTGTTTTAGTTGTATCACATGACTTTGTAGGCTACATTGTGTCACCTGTTAACATGACCTTCCACATTAACAAGCATTACATGAAACGGGTAAAGAAGAAAATAAACTGTATCAGCACTTACATGCATAGCTGCAACTGTGGACAAGAGATCTCTGGATTTTTCAAGTAACAAACGCTCTTCCGCAGCCACTTTAGTAATTTCAGAAATCACAGAACTTGTCCCTTCTACCTGTAGATTATGATGATTTTAAATCTTAAGAACTTGAAATGTCCTGATGGAAGTTTAGCTATGTTTTAGAATCAGAAAATAGTATTTGTCAGAGGACACTGGCCAAACCATATCATATGAATTGATGCTAAGCACCATATTCTTCCAAACTATGTAAAATGAATATTAGTAAGACAGTGGAAAAACAGACCTATTCATAATGTATGGGTTTAACAACTCTGGGAACATGGTTCTATTAAGTAGATTGATCGATATCTTCCGCTTATAATCAGGTGATCACACTCAATGCAATTGTATACAGTGGGATTTAGATGGGGAGTATAATGTGGACACTTTGAATGGTGGATGCAGGAGAATGCAAATCCATGGCTCTTGTGATCACATGGGATGGATATGACACACCACAGAAAAATAAATGATAACAAATCATTCATGATGTTGTGTTCATTCTGGGGACATGATGTTTTAGGATGTCTTACCTGAATTCGAGTTGGTTTTTGGGATTAAATCCAAACTAGATGAACCATGGGGAACCATATTAGAGCTTGATTTTAACCCAAGATAAGTCCAAGCCCAGCTAAAGTTCACTGGATCACATAATTTGGCTGAGAACATAATTGGACACTGGACAAGCATGGAAATGAAGTAAACAAGTGTTCTGGTGCAAACAGGTCAGGATACTGGGGATATTCCTAGAATTAATAATAACAATGAAGGGTTAGATTTCTAGCACCTGTGGCAGTGATGTTCACACCACCCTTACTGATCTTCTATTTTAAATCACAAGTGAGGATGACACAGTATTATTAATTCTTACTGGATGACACAAGTGAGGATGACACAGTATTCTTACTGGAGTTTGTAGTTATCATTGATCAACAAATGTCAGAAAGGATAAATGTTATATTTTAAGCAGGGTATCGTAGCGTAAAACCCTCCTTGATTTTTTACTATTCATTGAATTGTAAGTCGTAACATAGGGTGAAGGGTAGGGGAAGTCAGAGTTTGGGGGGTAAGTTACTGTAAAAGAAGTCACTCCACTGCTGGCCAATAATTACCCGCTAGCAATCACCACCCTGTAACCCACAATGACTCGTGAAAATGCCTCTAATGGTTGACTGCTCAAAGTTGATATGCAACTGCTAGCCTAAATTGGCCTTAGCACCTGGTAAGTTTGACAATGACAGTGGTTGCATTCTTCGCAATCAGCAACAGTTGTAGCAAGGACTGGATGGTAGTTGTTAAGATTATTGACCTATATATTCCAAGTTATTAGTGTCATCACCTTTGACAAAAGAAAGAATATTGAGGATCCCATTGCCTGCATCACTTCTACGGCTGACCCAACAGCATATTTCATTTCCTGGATGTCTGCCTGCACAATAGAACACATTTACATGACTTAAAAGTTGGAAAGAGATCATCAATCATATGGTAATGTTGCAAAATTTGAAGCACAAACCTTTACTCCACCAACAACAGGAAGACGGAGAGTTGTAGCATTTAATGCATCAATAGCTCCAGATAATGAGCTTGAATGGTTGCTATGCATGAGAGACCACTCCTCCAGATAGGTCATCTATGTCAATCAAGTTTCAAAATATTCAACTTCATGTATCTCACAATTTATATACATATATCTGCAAGCAAACCTTAATTTCTTGAAAGGACTTCTGGAAATGTGTCAAAGATAAGTAAATGCACATCATAAGAACATATGTTGAATATCTTACTTTTCACATCTTGCACTGTGTCATTATTTCTCAGATTACTTCAGAGAACATTTCACTATATGCAAAAACATATTATATTTGTTCCCGTGCTTTTAGTCCAAGATATTGCCAGTAGACAACATGTTCTAGATTATGAGATAACATGAAAAGATGCACAATTCCGCAAAATACCAGTATCATAAGAACATTTCATTGTGCGAATTTCCTTTTACCTTTCTACTCTGTGAAAAAGAAAAAATAAATTACAACATGTTATCCATACATTTTATTTTAGTGAAGGAACATACACAGTTTTCTGAAGGACTTGCAAACTACTCCCATCATGTAAATCAAGCAACGTGGTAATATTCCATTCTAATACAATAATTAAGAATTTAAAACCCCAACGGTTGAAGGATTTCTAATACAATAGTAACTAATAATATTCCATCAACACTTTTAAATTAGGTCCCCTATGAAGGATTGGTTGACATGAATTTCATTAATGATTAATCCTTCTTCAGTTTTTTGATAAATACTGCCTACGAACAATTTTGAATTATTTCTTCTTAAGCCAATATTCATTTTCTAGGCTCATGTTCATAGCCACAATATGATGGCTGTATAACTTGTTTATCATTGGTGCATGTAACTATATCACAAAGCATAGTTGTCGAGAATGCTAAGCAATGGCATTCCTGTGACATGCTATCTTGGATCTGAAAGTTGAAGTCCCCTAATAAGGTCTACATTGGCAACAATATGAGGATCACTACATGCATATTTCTCTGTTCCTGCTATTGTTAATTGATAACCTTTCACCACAAATTACTTGAAGTACATGCTTGTATCTATAGTTCTTTGCTTGATCGCTTCATATTGAACCAAAGAAACGATAGTAACTTTTGCCTAGGTTATGATTGCAGCTCACTTGTCAAATGATGTTTTCTTCTCTTGTCGCAAGTTTCCAATCCCAGTGGAAAATCTGAAAGGCATGAGTTTAGTTCACAAAATAATAAAAATAGTTTTGCTAAACTAGGTTACTTATTTAGTTTTCTGTTAACAAAGTCCCTTACTGACAGCCGACTAGAAAGCATAAAATTTTGATTTATGGAAGTTTTATTTATTAAGAAGACTGCATATACTTTCATGATAACAGGCTTTAACTGCAGGATCCTTCTGGTCTATATGACATAGAACATAACAAACTAACAAACACTTTCAACATATATACCCTTGTTAGATATCAGTACTTCCAGAAAACATAATGGTTGAGTAAAGATAGTCAACCTATTTAGTGCAGTGTACCTGATTTAAGATTTTAGTAAATAGCATAATAGATAAGTGTTCAAGATTAATATTCAGAGAGAGAAAGAGAGAGAGAGAGAGAGAGAGAGAGATGGATTGGCATCAATTAATATCTACAGTTAATTGTAATTGACAGTGACATGCTGCTGACATGAATCATTCTGATCTAGTATTAGACCAAACGTTAATAAATTTCATTGAAATTTGATTTACAAGAAAATAAATGAAGAAAAATTACTTACTTGCTCATGAAGAACAGATTTTAGCTTCAGATTTTGCGTAAGAAGTCGTAACTTGGTCCTCTTAAAAGTGACAGAATCACGCAATTTTGAGGTTGCAGCCCATACATTATATATATGTTTCTGTTATAAATAAAAGATAAGCATTAGCAGGATTGTAGAGCGGGACAATAGAGAAGGTGTTCATTTGTGTGTGAATATATATCAAACACAATATATTAACTAGGCTTTTTAGCCAGAATCTTCCAAGCTTAATGGGCTTAAAACCTTTCTAGTCTGATTCTTTCCAAAAGTAGGTTATTGAATTTATCTAACACTTGGACAAGTAGCATGTGATTGGCATCGAACAAGTCGACAGAAAAGCATTGTTGAGTTAGCTAGCTTGGGCAGAAGTATGTTAACAGAATTTCAGAATGAGTGTAGTGTAGCCATTAATTCTGCAGAACAATGACAAGAGGCATGCAAAGTGCTATCCTTTTCTTTGCATTCCCACTTACCAACCTGTGCTAAATCGAGAGGCTTCAGTTACGTCTCTCTCCCTCCTATGATGACACCCCGACAAGCAAAGCCAGAAGGGATTTCATCTCCATCTCACCATTATCTGATCACTTTCAAGTTTCATGAAGGCCACCACACGAAGGTGTCATGTTTGCATTAGGTTTTAAGAAAGCACTAGACATTTATTCTCAGTTAACATTGAATTCATGTAGACTTCAGTTTCACTGAACGTATGCTCAAGCAGTCAGAGTGCAATAAAGAAAGCACCATTGATTTAACTGAAGTAATGCAAAATACTTATTCTGAAAGGGGCATTTTTTGACTTGAAATTCTCTTATTAAAAACAGCTATTACTGCATCAACACTACCAATCACATCATCTATGCAAGTTCAGCATTGTATTATGTTCAATGGTTTTCTGGAGAAATCTAGCAAAAAAGAAATTAAGTAACCAGTAAAACTTTCTTATGATCTCCAATTGGCAAGGCTGGTGAAATTCATTATGATTAGCTGTTATAATGTAATACATCCAGTAAGACAAGACATACATTTGACTCTTACACTGGAAAAGTTGACCAGATGAATAAGTTATCATTTTTGGCCACAGGCCCTATCCTATTCCCATTCTTCTCTCTAGAAACTATTCCTATTGGATTAATGATGTGAAATTAATTTTGCAGTATTTTCCTTTCTGAACCTTGAAACCTTCATAGGTCCATATGCATTAAAAAGGTAGTAGAATCGACTAGGAAGGACGCATGTACATATTATAGAAGCCACTACAACTCTTGAAAATTATAACAAGCACTTTTAAAGCATAAAAGACAATCTTTCTATCAAAATCTTTCTACGATGCCATGGATGATGAATCTCAAAAGAATGCAGTATTGGGATTAGAATAGTTAAATCAAAATTTACAGTTTGAACAAATGATGGATGATGGGAGAACCACTGATTGCAAGAAAATTCAACAGATACAAATAAACTTCCAAAGTTCTCTAGAAAATTAAATTTTAGATTCTACACTAGTACCAAGCATTAAAAACAGGTTATAATAATATTTTTTCATCACTGGTTACTACATCGTATGAGGTGGCAGCTGCAGAAACAAATTGAAACTTGGTGATGAAACCTCAGAAGCTTGAAAAACAAGTTCGATTGGACCAAGGAAAATAATACCCAAAAATGACTGACAGATGTTTAGTTTTAAACCATGGTTTGCTACTTGATACGGATAAGAACTAAGTGGATATACTACATGTGAAAAGCAGAATATACATATTGGAGCTCTTACGGGCTACATAAAGAATCTACGCATAAGCAAACTCTGGAGGAGTTTATGATATCAACATTACCTCTGCAGTCACCTTATGCCACAGCGATGCTGCACTGGCCCTTGCATTTACAAACCGCCATTGCAAGTGTTGGTTATCGAACAGCCTCAATAGGTGTGCCTCTTCAATTCGATTCTCTCCTTTTTTCGCCCTCCTCACTTCAGCAGCAAAGCTTATAATTGAAGGTGCATTGGCTGGCTGACTAACTGGAGATGAAGTCGGGGTCCTACCACTCCTTGCCCTCAAAGGACTAACCATTCCCCTTGATGGAGAAGCCATGTGCTTATCAGGTGAAGATGGTCTGATGGGTCCACGGAGTGGCGAAGGAGCCAACCTTGGAGACGGTGACGGGCAGTCAACCGGTAATTTCTTCACCAAGCCCTGCTGCCGGTGGACCATGGGACTTGAACCTGAAGAAGATGGCAGCGATCCCGAGTCTGGCAACTGGCGCAGCCGGCTATTGTTCTCCTGCCAAAATCTCGCCGGCACACTGATTCCTCGAGGAGCGACCTTTGACCTTGGGGCCATGCGGAGCTCCGGAACCGCCGAATTGCTCCCTGATGACATGCTATCAGTGTCAGAGGAAGCGGAGAGATCGGCCCCATCAAACGACGCCCTCCGTGTGCCATCGTCGAACACCAGTGACTGTTGCATCAACCGGACGGTGGCCAAGATCGAGTCGTTCTGCCCCAAGGAGCAATCCAAGCTCCTCATCAACGGATTCGACGCTCGATGTCTCGCTCCAGGCCACAGGCGGTGATTGTCCGAGGGCCTCTTGTTCTCCGAGTGATCTCCAGCCCTCGCTGGTGTTGCAGCCACCGCACTAACTCGCCGTCGCTCAGGGCTAGGCTTCCGAGCTGGGCTAGGGGAGGCGGTCTTGGCGTGGCTGGTCTGGTAGAAGAAGGATTCGCCCTGGAACGAGACCGAGAGACTCCGAGTCATGGTGCAGAGTGCTCGAGCTGCCGCAGACGGTTCAGCCGAGGCGGGGCAGGGATCGGGGCGTGGCGTCAAAGGCCGGACACGATCGACGGAGTGGGATCGCTTTTGGGCCGCAGATTGGGACAATGTCGGCGGCGTCGATGGCCGTGGCGTCACGAGAGGCGACGGGAAGCGTCGGGAGCCGGAAGAAGATAAGGTGGTGGCGGTGGAGTAGGAGGTGGAGGTCGAAGAAGAGGAAGACGACGACGAGAGGTACCGAGATGAGATCTCCCTGGAGCGAGGCCGCCTAGGGGCAGGGCCGCCAGCTGTTGCGTCGGTGACGGAGACGGCATTGTCCTTCTCCGAGGGGACAAGCGGCGGGCGGCGGGGGTTCTGGGGATCGTTGCGATGGCGGGGTGGAGAAGGGTTCTTGCGGTTCGAAGGGTCGCGCCGGGAGGCGGCGGCGGTGGCAGGCGGGATGGCGGCCACCATGGATCTCGCCGGAGCTACCTCGATCTCGGGCTTACCGTCCCTTCTCCACTTCCACCAGCAGAAAGGGGTCACACCACCGGACTCGAACTCCTCCAGCAGCGCACTCCCTGAGAGAAGAGAGAGTGAAGCAGAAGATCGAGGAGTCATGGATTTATTTCCTTCTTCTATGTTAAGTATTAACGTGTCTGTTAAGACATTTGTAGGTTTACGTTCAAGTTTATGTGAGCATTATATATGTTGTTTAATATAATAAAAATATTTTTATTTTATTTATTTTTTAATATCGAGTATTAATAAATACAAAATATTTAAGGATATAAGAAAATAATCACACATGTTTACCGGGAAAAAAAAATACAATATGACATGTTAAATTGAAGTTGATTCTTTGCTCCAATTGAGTTGTGGTCAACATGACATGTTACATCAATAAATACCATAGATTAAATAATTATTATTAATGGTACGAAGAAAGATAAAATAAGACTTTAAGAAAATAATAAAAATTATAAATACTTTTAATAGAACTAAACCTATGACTTTTTAGTGTTTAGTTTGTTTGTGCCAAGTGAGTGAGTGGATGTGGAAGCTCAACAATCTTTGATACCAAATTTAGCTTAGGTAGGGAGAAAGGCAGTGGGGCCCAATTGATGTGTGATAATAGCCTTTTTGTAGGTCCATCAGTCACACAACTAAGATCCTATGGCCCCTGATGCCAAGCATGCTTGCAACACCCCCAATCTCTTCTTCTTCAGCTGTCTCAAGTCATTTCAACATTAGTCCAACCGCTGCAAGGATGAATGCAGTAAGGCAATGGATTGAGAGAACAACTTGATCTGTAAAAACTTGTACGTATCATTCCAATGAGGCTCTCTTTTTCACATGCAAAAAAAGGGTGATCGCAGCACCAACTGCAGATGAATGATTTGTTCTACCTTCCTTTTCAATGTTTGTCTTGTGTGGATGGTTGCTTTTTCAAGAGACCATCCAAAATTTGATGACATGCAAATGCAGGATGCAGTTCTATGAATGGAGAATTCTTTAGAGAATCAAATCAGAATCTTATTTTCTTTGATAGCAATAGATCACAGTAAGAGCTCACATCAGAGACGCAGATCCAAAGCTTGGAAACGTCCCGAGTGCATGCATGGATTACCTCCTCCTCACATCCTTTCAGATGTGAGCAAGGCGGAGAGAGTGTCTGCAAGAACAATGGAAGGTGGAAGGTCGCCTGATGAGCTGAAGTGACCTTATGTGCCCTTACCCAAGAAGAAGAAGAAGAAGAAGAAGAAGATTCATGGGGACCTAATGAAAAGAAAGCCAAGCAAACTTAAAAGCTCTTGTTCCATGCACAGTAGTAGAGTTGAGGGGACCAGTTAAAACCATTGCACATGCCTACATAACTCACTCCCCTCCCTTGGTGTCTTGGACCACTTGAGCTCTTCTTTCTCTCCTCTCATGATCTTGAAATTTGAACTTGAAGACACAGTTCATTTCTCTCTTCTCCTGCAATTGATCTGGCATAATATGATGCTTATAGTTTAATTCTCATGCATTTTAAGATACATGGAGGAACCTAATTGCCCAAGGCTTCTTGGAAAGGTAGATCACATCATTAACCCTCCGCTCATGAGTTGACTTTGTTCAACCCCGTTCTCGGGGACCATGAAATAAGGACAGCTAACATTGTTGTGGTGTGTGACATCTTCAAATGGGCCAAAGTATTCTTGTGAAATGGAAGGTTCATGCGCCTAGGTTAATTATATTGGACCATAGCCAAGAGAGCATGCCACTGTAGAGAACAGTCTCTTTAGCTTGTGAGGACAGCAGCCACCTTCAATGTGGATTGAGATGCAGGTTATTGATTAGGGTTGAAATTGCAGAATTTATCAGACTTGAAGAAAAAGAAGAGAACTCCATGCCAAAGCCCCAGCAAGAAGGATTCAATTTTTGCTTGTGGTCTCCTCCTTCCATTGGAGTCTGAAGACTCTCCTCTAAGATCAGTACAAGATAAAGGAGAAGATAAGACGAAAGCTCTTTGTGATTTGTTCATCTCTCTCTCTCTCTCTCTCCGCTGTGGTCAAACAACTCTACTGTGAAGAGAACAAGTTTGTTTGGTGTTCTTGCGAGCACGGACATGCATTGAATTCGACATTTGAACTCATATTAGGAGCTGGTTTCTACTGTGGGGAAAAGGGGAATGGGACGTACATTACTTTGGAAGCTTTCAAAACCATTGTTACATGGGAGATGTTCAAGAATCCATTGCTTTCATATATCAAATGAACTTTTTGCTCCACAAAAGAAGAAACACTAGTTTTCGAAGGAACTAGGAAGAAAGAGAACGAAGAACTTGTTCTACAAATCGAAGTGCAATTAATCGCATACCTTCACGTTGATGAAGAGAACGCAACCAAAGAGAGCCACTTCAAACTAAGCATGGATTACTGCTGCCATGGCTTTAGATCTGTAAGGTGAGGCCCCTTAGACACCAAACAGTAGGATTTTCTGGCCTTAGGTCGCTGTGATGTGCAATCTAAGCTTTCCGAGTTGGTCCCATCTTCTCTTTCTCCCCCTCTTTGCTTTCAGTGAGGTTTTGTTCCCGACATTTTTCTTAATGTCGGACTCTCAAGGTTTCATCGTTGCCATCTCTTTCTCTTTTCCAACCACGTTCTCAACGTGGAGCTTTTGTACTTTGCATGGCATCTCTGTTCTTCTCTATACCTTTTACCATATGTACGAGTATTGCTAATGGAGGATATGATTTACACGATTGTAGTTGATATGATATATGAATTGCTCGCACATTAAGAATGTTTTGTTGCTCATCTCCACTGGTATGTCTTGGGGTACAAAACATCTTTGTCGACAGAAGATAGTTCAGGAATCATCGGACCTATGAATGAGTGAATGGAGTCAGCAAAAAGACTTCTTAACCTTAATTACACATCTTTACGTGCTTGTGAATTCTTAACCTTAATAACACATTTGGTGTGACATCCTAATCAATGATAAGGTCATCTTAACAGAATGCAAGTCTGCTGTATCAGTGAAATGATGATGCAGTTGAAATAAATGCTCCTTATTTTTTTATGACTAATCAAATCATGCGAGCGATTGAAATGTATCATTTGTATCAGGATGATTGATCCATCATGTATAATTGAATCAACCAGGCAAGCAAGTTAGAAATTCCTCGTTAATATCAATAGTATACATAAGAAGTAAAATGATAGGGAACATTCTGACATCAATGATAGCCCGTCAATTGACCACCACTAGGGAATTGATGTGGAAAGACCACGTCACCTCTTTCTGTTCAGCAGTAAAGCGATAGCCGATCAACCGTCATGATCCGTAAATCACGACGAATGGTATGACTTAGCCACCGAGGGTAGGGGTCCTCGAATGGCTAAGTTGACCTATGCCCCCCTTTGGTCAATCTCTATGGGAAACCTTCTTGACTAGTAGGCGATGTCCCTTATATTATTCCCTATTGACGGCGTGTCACAGAAAGCCATATAAGCCAATTGTCTATATAAATAAGGCATAGGAGAAGGAAATACAGATAAGCAACTTGTCAGTCGCAACACCCCTCTGGCTTCCTAGGTATAAAAGTCGATCCTCGATGCCTGAAAGGGGGACTAGATTTGACACACATTGAACCCCCTACTCTAATTCCCCACAAAAGGCTAACTTAATCGTTAGAGAGATCGGATTGAAAAATCCCTTCCAATGTCGACTTTTGTGCAAGACCTTGAGGAGACCAAAGCTCACGCCGAGGTATGACGATCACCTCAGATCCCTCTCGACCACCTCATTTTCGATATTGATTCCCCTCAATTGCCACATGGTCCTAGTAGATTACTCCGTGCCTTTGAGATTAGACCGAGTCATGACAACCCTCGGTTGATGACACCAAGGTAAAAATAAGTACTTTATATTTTAGTTATTCGATGTAGAAGATGATTTGGATGGTCCTTTTACTTACACAAGTAGACGAGGAGTGAGAGCATCAAATCCATCAGTTAGAAATCATACAATATTACATATGTCGAAATCCATCTAATACTTAAATTAGTAAATGGGTTTGGATGATTCGTTGTAATATCGAATCTAAAAAATGAGATGCTAAACGATAATGCATTCGAGGGCTTTTATAGTATAATGAATGGTCATGATTGCTCACATAATGGTCAGTAGAATCCAATTATTACATAGTTATTACCAACTCCTCCATTGATCTAAACGTTTACCTTTGATATAATGTTAAGATATCGATCAGGTATTACTGAGATGTCTGTCATGTCATTGAGTAATCAACGGCCTACCATGTCTCATCTTTGTGATCTTATTCACCATCATAATTATGTTAAATGATTTATCATTTAACAATTCTCGTCACGCATAAAATGGTCAAAATTAAACTTCGATTATGAACGTTTTCAATGTGGCATCGGATGTTGCACAAGATTTGCCTAATTATCGTGAGAGTTGTCACGATGAAGAGCGTTGTGGATGGATTCTGAGAGCCATGAGGCGGGCTTACACAGAACAGATGGGCCAAGTTCAATCACAGTGGGCTCGGGATCTAATCAAAGAAGGCCGAGTCCTTTTGTGACAGTAATTACTCGAATCCATCTAATAATAAACTAAATCAATTGATTCAACTAAAACAATAATAAAATTTATATATGATTATGAGTTCATGATATTAAGAAAGACCATTTTTTAGTATATTTTAGTTTACTGTCAAGATATAATAATAATAATAATAATAATAATAATAATAATAATAATAATAATAATAATAATAATAATAATAATAATAATAATAATAATAATAATAATAATAATAATAATAATAATAA